TTCTCACTATTCCCAGCTGCCTTTCTTCCTTTACCAAAAGTTTCTTTTATGAATGACAACATGTTGAGAAATCCCTGAAAGCCAATGGAAGAAATTACAAGTGATTCATCATTAGTGCCTTTGAATATTTATTGAAGACCTTATACTATAGAAGACAATACAGAATCTGGTCCTTGTCCCGGGGAACTGGCATTTTTAGGGGCTGGGACTCAGGACACACACACCACACACATCACACACACATTCACCACCCCCTCTCCCCACACACAATTACAGCACAAATACATGCAAGTTCACTTGGAAGGGTTAGCTGTAGGTCATAGCTTCTGCTTCCTTTTTTTTTCTTCCACCTTATATTCCAGACTATAAACATGCTGAGGGGAGCTCCAAGCAGGCTGGGACAATCCCAGAGAAGTCTTCGTTCTTCCTGATGAGTGGATTTGTTCTTCCTCTCCCATGAATTTTCCCTAGAGGGCTGGCTGCCCATTCTCAGCTGTTTTTATCAATATATTTCACAATAATAGTTCCAGTGCCTTTGCCTTTATATGGCGTTTTTACTTCCTTCATGTCATTTAATCCTCATGACAGTTCTGAGCAGAAATGCTACTGTTTTCCTTATTAAACATCTCTGAAGCCCAGAGAGATGAAGAAACTTTTCCAAGGTGATATAGTTTTTAAGGGGCAGTCTGGACTAGAATTCAAGGCTCCTGAGTCCAAGTCCTGGACTCTTTTCTGTCCACCTCCTTGCCTTTCTCTGGTCTTGAGGACACAAGGCTTATATTCTTCCTTTAATAACTCCCTCCTCTGTCACTTTCCCAGGATTCACTGCTCAGTCCAGGGAAAGAAAGAAGTGGGAAAATGAGGAAACAAAATATCACAATCAGGACCTCACATAATCACAAGATATAGAGCTGGAAGGGAGCTTTGAGTCACTCAGGTAATCAGTCAATAAACATTTATTTAGTGCCTACTGTGTGCCAGGCACTGTGCTAAGTAAGCACTGGGAATACAAAGGCGAAAGAGAGTCACTTCAGGAACTCAAAGTCTAAGCTAATCTGCTTATTTTACAGATGAGTAAACTGAGTCCCAATCAAAAGAAAAGTAAAAAAAAAAAAGACCTTATAGGGCAGAAATTGGGCCTTTTTATAAAACGAACAAAACTTTGTATCTCTAGTACAGAGCCTTTTACATTTGGGTGCACAATACATGCTTGTTTAAATTGAAGGTTACATAGGCACTAGATAGTGAGCAAAGATTTGAATCCAGGTTCAGACAGGGCTGGAAGAGACCCCAGAGTCTATCCCAACTCATTTTGCAGATGAGGAAACTGAGGCTTAGAGAGGTTAAGGATCCTGTCCGAGGTCACATGCTTAATAATAACTAGCATTTATATAGTGCTTGTGATAAGAGAATTACTGGCTTAACTTTTTTACTTCTGTTTACTTAAGATGAGGACATCGCATAGCTCGTCTGTAAAATCAACCTTGAGACATCAACTGCCTGTCCGTCGTTAACTGACTAGTTTCCTGTTTTACCTGACATAGATCTTTCCCTTCCTTCAGCTGTTCTCTGATGCGTAAATCATTATCTGACCTTATTTGCTCTTTGAAATTCCATTGTACCCATCCTGCTTGCAGAACCAAAACCTGTCTAATGTTGTTGTTATTCAGTGATGTCTTCATGACCCCATTTGGGGTTTTCTTGGCAAAGATACTGGAGTGGTTTGCCATTTCCTTCTCCAGCTCATTTGACAGATGAGGAAACTGAGGTAAACAGGGTGAAGTGACTTGCCCAAGGGCACACAGCTATAAGTGTTTGAGGCCAGATTTGAACTCAGGAAGATGAGTCTTCCTGACTTCAGCCCTAGCACTCTGTGGCACCACCTAGTGTAGCTTAAAACTAATGCTAGGGGCTCACTATTTAATGAAGCCTGCCTTTTGAGAATAAATAAACTGGTTTTTTTTTCTCCTTAACTCTGTGATGTTGATCATATGATTGGGAGCAATAGCTAATCAACTATCCTGCAATAATTGCTGTCATATTTTTGAGGTCTGTAAAACTCTTTACAAACATCTCATTTTATTATCACAGCTCTGGGAGGCAGGCGCTATTATCATCTCCATTTTACAGATGAGGAAACGGAGGCTGACAGATGTTAACTGACTCCCCCAGGGTCACACAGCGAGTGTCTGAGGCTGGATTGGACTCCAGGACCAGCATTCTATCCATTTTTCCACCTCCATGTCTCTGATGCCAGGTTTATTTCCACTATACTGTGCCACACTCTTTGGTGGTGAGGAGAGAAGCTGCATGGTCTCTCCAACCAGACACAGCCTCTAATATGAGTGTCCATCTCTTCTGGTTTCTCCTTCCCACTGAGCTGATGGAGAAGAGCAGATCGCAGAGGAAGAAGGTAAGTAAGGCCTAGATATGAGGCCTTCCTATGAGGCACAGCTATAGGATACGGTCAGTATGGATTTGAATGAGCACGATTTGAAGTTCTAATTATGTAAAATGTGGTAATTGGTTGCAGCCTAATGGAAATATGGAGTGTTAATTCAAATAAGAAGTACTATACTTCAGGGAAATTCATTATTTGCACTAATTTAAACAAATTAAACATCATCTCTTCATGGAAAAGCTGAAGTACAAAACTGTCAATCATTTGACAAAGCTTTGTGAGCCAAGGCAAGGTCTCAGGCAGAGCTGGGCAGTCCCAGAGGATAATTGGACCTTTATCTATGGCCATGGGTAGGGTAGGGCAGCTAGGTGGCACAGTGGATAGAGTGTTGAGTCTGAAGTCAGGAAGACTCATCTTTCTGCGTTCAGATCTGTCCTCAATAGGTGTGTGACCCTGGGCAAGTCACTTCAACCTGTTTGCCTCAGTTTCCTCATCTGTAAAATGAGCTGGAGAACGAAATGGCAAACCACTCCAGTATCCTTGCCAAGAAAACCCCAAATGGGGTCAGGAAGAGACTGAAACAATTAAACAACAACAATGGATAGGGACAGAAGCAGTTAGTTGTGTCCTTTCTCCTGGTAGCTCCGGTTTGAGTCCCAGGATTCTTCAGTCAGGGGCCAGGCCTCCGGGAGGAAACAGCTTCCCTTAGAACAATAGGATCTTAGAGTTGGAGAAAGTCCTCTCTCAGGAGAATTTTTGAATTCTTTGAGGTCTAGGGCTGGTTTGCTTTTGTCTTTCAGGGTCTCACAAGTATTGGGTGCCTAATATTTATTTATTAATTTTTTATTATATTGCATTTGTTCTTTTTTTATCCAATTCAACTGGATGAAAATTTGGGGGTGGGCTAATCTAACCTTCTGAGGCTAACCCAAAGAGTCTAGATTTCCTCTTACCTTCAGTGGCCTGAACCTTCTCAGCTCAAAGCTTGTTGGACTCTGCATTGAACTGGGAACCAGCACTTCTAGCTGCTGGCCCCTGGCCTGCCATGGGACCACTGGACACCAGTCAGCGGAGGATGCATCTCAGGCAATGATCTTACTCCTGTTGGGGGCTCAGGCTTTCTGGTCCTACAGACAAACATTCTTTCCTTGGGGCCCCCCAACAGCCCATTCCCACAGCCCTCACAAGGGGGTCTTTTAGATGTAAAGCTACAGCACACAGGGAGAAAGAAGATTCCTAGCCCCAGAGATTAGGTTTAAGAGATAAGAGAACTGAAGGCCTTGAAGCCTAACCCTCGAATACACTAGGATGTCTTTCCAGCCCCTTTGACAAAGCTACTTCCACATTAGCCCCTACTCCAAGGAATTCTGTGATCCACCCCAAACAGAGCCCTGCTTCAGAAATCCAGGTTTCTAGGCCTAGGACTTACAGATAACCTAGAATATTTGTACAGGATGGGCTCTTAAGGGGTCATTTTATCTAACCGCTTCATTTTACAGATGGGAAAATGGGTATTTAGAAGGGTTATTGACTAACCCAGGGTCACACAGCTACTTATTAGTGGAGTTAGGGCTAAAACTAGACCTCCTGAATCCCTGTCATGTAGTCTTTCCATCAAACCACATTCTTCCATCTCCTTCAAGTAACCTGAAGTGTAAGGGACACAGAGGCCTTTGCTACAGTGGCAGGAATGCAATGCAAAACTTCAAAGCTCTACCCTTTCCCCTATAATGATTCTAAATGCCTCATTGAGGATTTTCCAAACTTCAAAGAAATTTATATTGCATTAGCAGAAAGGGGCATGCTGGAATTGGAAATGAATTGACTTACTCAATTCCCTCCAGGCCTGGGGGAAACTTTCCATGGGAGGAAATGGAGAAGAAAAAAAATTTTGAAAAATATTTTTAAAAAAGTTCCTATAGCTACATGACATGGTGAGGTATTTCTAAAGAAAGTACTGCGGATGTGCGTGGCCCTTGAGACACGTTGGCCTGCCTGGTCTCACGCAAGATCGATCATTTTTCCCTGCCATCCTTTGAGGAAGAATCATTATAACATCAGCTGACAGCTTGGTAGAGAAGGGAATAACAGCTTCAGCATCAGATGATAGTTCCAGAGAAGTATTCTCTTGCCCCTATGCTGCTGTGGGGGTCTGGGGGTGCCTGTTCTCTGTTGGAGAGAGGGACTTAAAAAAATTCTGTTGTTTGATTTCCTCTTGTTGTTTACCTGGATATTTCATCCCAATTAAATGCTTTACTATTTGATATTTGGTTTCTACCTGGTATGTTCGCAAAAGAATGCCCTGACAGAATTCTTGAGCCATATTATAATTATTTGCGTAACTTTGATTACCCCAGTCACTCTACACTGAACTTGACATATAGAGGGATTTCAGAATCATGTAAGATGTGTGCTACAGAAATATCAAATACTTGTCTCAAAACTGAACGTTCTTCTCATTAGATTGCTAGCTAGCTTTTTTGGGATAGGACCTATAATGAACACCTTTCCTAAAAGCCTCCACAAATCATTATACAATAAGCCGTGTTGAAGACATTAATCGTTATGCTCCTTTTAAAATATCGCTTATATAAAGCCCTGTATTGGTCTGAAAACAGGTCTCACTGATTTCCCAAATCTAACAGAACAGAAAACCTGAGCACTGCCTTCAATTAGTGCTATTTTTCAGTGCAATTTTACTTTTTTTTTTTCCATTCATAGAGACTTCATTTTGGGGATTAGGGATATCAGGTCTAACAGCAAGCAAAGGTCTATCTTTCTGTATCATAATAGAGTCAATTTCCATTTATCCAACTATTTTCCAGATAGCCAGCACCTATCCTTTCCTTGGGTCCTTAACCTCGAGAAGAAGGTTCATTGGGTCAGAGGTCCAGAGTCTTTATGTAGTTGGAAAAGTGGAAAATGACAAAGATTTGTTCTACTTAGACTGCCTACATTCATTCCCAGTTTGTTCTCCACATGGAATATCTTATGTCCCCCTATTCTTGACCCTACTGCTACTATTTCCAGAGCAGTACCCAGAGCTGCCCACCAGGTTCTCCGGTGTGCTAGTAGGAAAATACTTCTCTGTTAAGATTGGCCTATTCGTCCTTAAGGTGATATCTCTTCATCATCTTGTCACATACCTCTTTTGTTGACTTGAAGGGTCTTTAGAAGCTAAAGGAATATAGACCAGTAGAAGAACTCACTCATGCAAGGTTCTAAGAGAAAGGAAAAAGCAGGGGAAGGAGGGAACAGGAAGGTGCTAGACCACACTGAAATATGGTTTTTCTTGACTGGCTTGTTGGCCAGCTGGCTGGGAACCCTCAGGCCCCTGTTCCTGCTGCAAGGGAGGCTGAACTTGCCCTTGCTTCTTGCCCAAAGCCCTGGCCTTGGCTTGGAAGGACTCTTGTACCACACTGTAGCTAGTAGTGGTCAAGTAGACCATCCGCCGTTGGGGCTCTTCCTCTGAGCATTTGCACAACCTCTTAAAGGCCATCCGGAACTTCTGGGACATGAGGTTGTAAACAATAGGGTTGATGGCGCTGTTGGCATAGACACAGATTCGACAGAATAGGAGAAACCATGGGTCAAGGTAGGGGTGGTCCATAAAGGAGTTCACTAGGACCAGGGTCCGGTAAGGCATCCATAGGACAGCAAAGAGTACCACCACCACAACCAGCATCTTGGTGACCTGTGAGGAGAACAGTGTAGGCAGTAACTCATCTGCTGGAAATGCCAAGGTCAACCATATCCAAATGGCATTACAGTGAAGTGCCTAGACACCTCACCTCCCATTTGGAATGATCAATAATAATAAATTATTAAAAATTAATATAATTATGATTTCTTGTTAATAATAAAAGCTGGCATTTATGTAGTACTTAACGGTTACAAAGGACTTCACCAGAACCTTAGACTCCATGACCTGGGGATTTTGGCTCTGATAATAAACTTTCAGCCTTATTTTGCTTGTATGCAGGCCTCCAGGCCACTTTTTGGCAATGTCCAGAATGTGCTGCCTCTGTCTTTGGACATTATTCCCATCTCATTCCCACCCCCACCCCCATGGAAACCTTGGATTCTGACCTTTGGACACCACAAGGAATCAGGCTTCCAGGCTATTTCTCTGACATCTCTAGCCCATGCTACTCCCTTTTCCAGCCCCTTTGCTACCCTTATTATCTTGTACTAGAATGTAAGCTCCTTGAGGGCTAGCACTGTCTTGCTTTGCTTATATTCTTGTGTTCCCAGCATTTAACATAAATGACTGGCACTTGGTGTTTAATAAATACTTTATCTAATCTGTCTACATATATACAGACATACAATATCTCACTGAATATTCACAAAATCCAATTGGTATTGTGTTAAGAAAATTTCTAGCTCAACTTTATTACCATCATTTACTTAACACTTAAGATAAGCATTTACTTAAGAAGGAACTAGGGACAAGGAAGGGCTACCTGGAAAGTCCTCCTGCAGAAGACAGAATCTGAGCTGTTTGAAATATCTGCAGGGGTGGGGAACCTGCAACCTTAAGGCCACAGGTTCCCCACCCCTGATTCAAGGGACTGCAAAATCAAGCTAAGACATCGAACTACAGTCCCAGTGTTAACTAGTTAGTTTGCAAAATCCAGCTTGAGATATCAGCTAGCTTTGTGTTTATTGGCTAGTTTCCTGTTTCACCTGATGCAGATGTTCTCTTTCTGAAGTCTGTTCTTTGATTTATAATCATTACCTTACCCTTCTGCCTTCTGCAAAATTCCATTGCACCAGTTCTGACTTTGTAACCAAACTTATATAATGTAGGTTAAAACTGCTACTCAGGGCTCATTGATTTTTGTACACAGTGAGGCTATGCTCTCAGCATAATAAACCAGCTTTCGTAATAGCTCTGCATCATTGTTGATATAGTTGACAGCTGTACCTATCATTTTACAATTTTGTCTTAATACATGTAATGTAATTTTTATCATCTCCATTTTAAAAACAAGGAAATTGAGGCTCAGAAAGGTGACACATTTTGCCTACTGTCATCCAGCTAATAAGTGTCAAAGCTGGCACTCACACTGAGGTCATCAGAGAGCTTTCTTCTATGAGGCACCACCTCTCTTCTCCCCAATCTACACCTCCCCTCCACCCCCACCAACTCTGGAGATTTGGAGGTAGAGCCTGGACATAGGGCAGGGAAGTTGACAGGGGAATCAGTAGTCAACCAACAGCCAACAAACATTTATTAAGCACTTACTGAGTGCCAGACACTGATAAATATGGTGATGCAAAGATAGGAAAAAAGACGGTCTCTGCTCACAAGGAGTTCATATTCTAACAGGGAGACAACCCGCAAACAACTACGTAAGATAAATACAGTGTAGATGGAGGGTAAGCTCATAAGGATTAGGATAGCGACATGGAAGGGGTGCCTGAAAGGGCATCTTGCAGAGGGTGAATTTGAGCTGAATCTTGAAATAAGCCGAAGAAGTCTGAAGGAAGGTAATAGGAGTGGGGAGCATTCCAGGTATGGGGAAGGGCAGGCAATGAAAAGGTATAGAGTTTTAAGTGGAGTGACTTGTGTTAGAGAAGCAACGAGAAGGTCATTGATGCTGAGTGCATTAGAGTGTGTTGGGTGGAAAATGTGTAAGACTAGACAGGTAGGAGAGGGCTAGGTTATGAAGGGTTTTAAAAAGCAAACAGAGAGTTTTATACTTGATCCTGAAGGTAACAGGGAATCAATCACTGGGTTTTATTGAACAGGGCCAGACCTGGGCTTTAGGAAGATCCTTTTTGACAGCTGAGTGAAGGATGGATTGGAGTGGGAGGAGACAAGAGGTAGGGAGATCTGCCAGCAGACTATCTCAGTAGTGAAATGAAGTGATGAGAGTCTGCCTAGGGTGGTGGAGATGTCAGAGGAGAGAAAGTACCACAGATGAGAGATGCTATAAAGGTATAGACCACAAGACTTGTCAGCAGATCAGATATGGGAACAGGTGAGTAAGGAGGTGTTGTTACACTCACTTCAAGGAATCCCTGAAAACCGTGGGGGAGGGGGCATGAAGAATGAGAAAAGCAAGTGGGAATATGGCTACTTGGAGATCTACCAGGTGAAACTCTGGGAAAATTAACTCACAGGGGGACATCTAGGTTATTAGTTTTAGGAAAATAAGCCCTTCCCCTATGTCCAGAATCTCAAAGAAATCAGCCTGGGGAGCTAAAGAAAGTGGCAGTGTTTTCTTCCTCTTCCTCCTTTTCTTCTTTGGCCTAAATAGGAACCATCATTTTAGGACAGCCTAAGAGCCAAAAGGGAAAGGAATGAAGAGGAAGAATTAGAAAAAAAGAGGACTTAAGGTTAGAAGGGGAATGCAAGAAAAGGGGAGGACATTGAAGACAAACCTGCCTGGTCTCCCAATTTTTCCAAGAGTTGGTCCTTCTTTGACACCATTTATCTTTACCCACACCATACACCCTTGGCTTCCCTCACTTTCATTCTTGGGCTGAGGTGAGTCATGAGATAAAGAAAAACAATCTTAGTGGAAGGGAGGGGATGTCGGGGGAGGGGAAAGCTGCAAATTTCTACCTCCTATTGGGAGATATTTGGCTGCTATGCTTTGCATTCTCTCTAGATAATTTCCTGCCAGTTGCTTTGAAGTAATCTGATGGTCGTCTTCTCTTTCTCTTCTGGCCAGGAGTTCTAGTGATGCAAAGGAGGTCTAGCATGGTAGCGAGGAAGAAGGAAAGCGGGCCAAGCTATCTCACCAGTGCATGTCTCAAGAGGACCTAAGTCACCTAAGAGCAAACTGAAGGCCTTTCTATCTAGCCCCATTTGGAGTAGGGCCAGAGAGCCTGCCTGGTCCACCTAGGGAGTTATGTGCATAGAATGGAATGGAAACAGCCCTGAGGTTGTCAGTTAGTCAATCCTGACAGATGAGGGGCCATTCCTAATAATGCACCCTATCACAGCATAACAGATGTAAAGCTAGTAGGAGTCTAGAGATCTTCTGCTCCGAGAGTTTTTAATCTTTTTTGTGTACTGGACTCTTTTGGTGGCCTGGCCACCTTCTCAGAATAACATTTTTGAATGCATAAAATATACAAAATGCTGGATTTCAGTAAGAGGTTAGTGAAAATAAATACGTCATTTTTTTCCATTCAAATTTATGGACTCCCTGAAATTTATCCATGGCTCCTTTCTGAATCCATGAACTCCAGGCTAAGAATCCCTGATCTAGTTAGAAGAAGCTGGATATTGGGATAGGGGAATGGCAGGGTAAATGGAGGGCAGGACTTGGGCTTGAGAGACTTGAATTTGAATTTTACCTCATTCACTGACTAGCTGTGTGAGTCTGGGTAAGTCTCTTAATCTCTCTGTGCCTTAGTTCCCTCATCTGTAAAATGGGGGTTATTGTGAGGCTCAATTGATTCAATATACATAAAGTGCTTTGCAAACCTTAAAGGCCTAACTCCTGTTATGGGAATTTTTATTTCCTTTTATTGAGTCTTATTATTTGGGGATCAAGGCCATTCCTGCTACAATTTTTGATTAACTAAAAGCCTGTCTTCTATTAATATTAACCGCATCTGACCAAAACTTGAGTTCATGGAAAAATGATATTAAGGGAAGGCCAGGGCATGGGATGTAAAATTTTACTTAAGGCTTTAAACATTCCTTAGGTCAGAGGAAGAATCTCAACTGTCCTTGACTCCTTGGTAACACATAAATATCCGTCTTTAATCAGCCTATTTGTGATCCCTCTCAATGTAGTTTAATCTGTAACCTGACTTAGTTTACCTATAGAGTCTCTTTAACTAGGCTTGTTTATATATGAGATTATGACGCTATTTAACAAAGTTTGTTCAACTTTTTTATGACATTGAAGGAAGCATGGGATTTTGAATCTATCTTTTCTAAGTGCTACGGCCTAACAGGAATATACAAGATTGCAATAGGTAAAAGAAGGAAGCCGTCACTCTGACATAATTTTGTCGGTAAGAGGCCTTGTTAGAATCCTAATTGGGATTCAAATTTCTTTTTTTGTCTGATATCTGAACCTATGCTTAAACATAATAAAACTTAGATTTTTCTCACCTCTATAATTTCTGCATTGTGGTAGATTTATATCAGCAGCACTTACCTACCACATGAATTCAAAGAGGAGATATTTCTCCTATAATGCTGTCATAATTATTAGAACAATTGGGTCATTTTACAGATAAAGAAACAGATTTTCACTGGCTATCTCCCATGCCTGGAATAATTTCCTGCCTCTTCTCTTGCCTCCAGGCTTCATTCAAGTCCAGCTAAAATCCCACCTTCTCAGAGAAGCTTTTCCCAAACCCCCCTTATTCTAGTGCCTTCTCTCTACTGATTATTTCCAGTTGATCCTGTCTATAGCTTATCTGTACATAGTTGTTTGCATGTTGTGGCTCTCATTAGACTGTGAGATCCTTGAGAGCATCGGGGACTGTTTTTGCCTGTCTTTGTATGTCTAGTATTTAATAAATGTTTATTGACTGACTGATTGTGGTAAAGTAACTTGCCCAGGGTCACATGGATAATCAATGGTAAAGAGTAGATTTGATATATCCTAACTATAGGTCTTTTACCTCTCCATCTAGTGATCTCGCTATCAAACTGTGCTGCCTTTCTTTCCTCAGAATGACTGATCAAACAAATGAAGCAAATCCAGAGTGGAGGCTGCTAGGAAGGGAAAGGGGGAGTATTTGAAATCTTATTTTTAATTGTATTAAGAGATCATCTTAATCATTTAGCCTGGGCCATTATATGCTTAAATCCCTTTCTAGTCACTGGGCTTGTAGGTGTTAATAATACCCCCTCATATTACAGATAGGGAAAACTCAAGTCCTCACTGAGAGGCAAAATGAGTGTGATGGGAGTAGAATACAATTCCAGATGAATGAAAAAGTATTTATTAAGTACTTACTAGTTATTCAAAAATCTAAGAATGCTGAAAAACCTCTTGAAGACTATTAGATGGAGCAAGAGTGGGTGAATGGGGGAGATGGAGAAGAGAACCTAAATACTGACTTTTCTTGACATACAAAACATACATGAAAGCATCTAACTAGACATCCCCTGCTTCCCCAAGCTCTGGGGAGCTCTAGAGCTTCCTGGAGGAAAGCAGTCTAAGTCTGTGTCTGAAAGAACCTGGCAAACACTGCCCCCCACCCATGCCACAATAGACCAGTTGTTTGGAACCTAAACTAGTTACTGTGTTCTCTATGTTTTTTCTCTCTGTATCTATCTCTAAGTCTCTGTCTCTGTCTCATTGTGTCTTTGTTTCTCTGTTTCTCTCTCTCTCTCTCATACATACACACACACACACACACACACACACACTCCAATATCCTCTTTGTCATAAAGAATTTAAATATCGCTACCACTAGCTGGAGATAACAAATCCACATAACTAGCCAGAACTTGCAGAATTTAGCAGAAACATCAACCTTTAGCTCTGGTGATTAACTGGTTAGTGATAGGAGAATTTCCGGCTCGGCTTTATTACCTCTAGTTATTTAACATGATCATGTTAATAACTAGGTGGAACTCTGGAGTTAATGGTTAGTCTGCAGATTCCAGGTTTATCCCTAGTGTTTACTGGCTAATTTATAATTTTTACCGAAGGCAGATCATCCCCTTCTATTCTCTATTCTTTGAAGTGTAAATCTTTACCTTCTACTTTTGCCCTCTATAAAGTTCCATTACAGAGCATAGACCAACTAGTTACATCTGTCCTGCAGATGTAACTAAAACCTATATAAAGTCACTGACAATGGCTGCTGGGTCCCACTGACTTTTGTGTACTATGAGTTTATGCTCAGCACATAATAAACTGGTTATTAAAATGACTGCATGTTGACAAGCATGATTGGCAGCAGTACCTATCAATGAATCCATGGACGGTTTTTATGTTCCCTTCCTGATGAGGAGCTAGCTGGCAAGGGTGCCCACTGGGTCTCCCTTGAGCTTCTTCCAGCGAGAGCAAACCCTGTATTTCGTTGTATTGAAAGTACAGCAAAGATATGAACATTAAACTGGACCAATTTGATGTTGTGGCAATTATTGGCTGGAAAATCCCATATTCTTTTCTCCTCCTCCATTCAGTTTTGTTCTGTTAGCATTCTCTTCCTTGGAATCCCGTAAGAGGCTTGCCTTCTGTCTCTTGAATGTCTTTTTCTCTGCCTCTCTGCCTGCCTCCCTCTCTGCCCTTTCTGTTTCCTAACAGTCTTTTCTCTCTCCTAAAAGTGCTTTGCTCTTTCTCTGCCTACCTTGGTTGCTGTTTTTTGTCTGTGTATATCTTTCCATCACTGTCTCTTTTTCTCTGTGTATGTACATTTCTCTGTTGCTATCTCCCCCCCCCCCTTTTTTTCCATATCTCACTGCCTTTGTCATTAGAATGTGAGCTCCTTGAGGGCAGGGAACAGTGATTTTTTTTTGTTGTTTTTTGGTCTTTTCATCTCTTAGCACAGAACTTCACTCATGATTTTTATTTTGTTGTTCAGTAGCATCCAACTCTTTGTCCAACTCCCATTTGGGGTTTTCTTGGCAAAGACACTGGAGCGGTTTGCCATTTACTTCTCCAGCTCATTTTACAGATAAGGAAACTGAGGCAAACAGGTTAAGTGACTAGCCCAGGGTCAGTCACACTGAGGTTGTATTTGAACTCAGCTCTTCCTGACTCCACACCCAGTGCTCTATCCACCGCACCACCCAGCTCACACATAGTAAACTCTTAATAAATTCTTGTCTAACTGTCTCTCTGTGGGTGTACAACTATTTCTGCCTTTCTCTTGCTGCATGCTATCTCTCTGCTTGCCTCTTCTTCTCTCCTTCTCTGTGTATCTCTCTCCTTCTCCTCCTTTATCCCACTTCCACCTCAAACCTTTCTCTCTCTCTCTCCTTGCACTCCAAACACTTCACAGTGCCCTCCACTCCAAACAAGAAAGGAGGTTCATCTTACCTGCTTCCTGGAAGACAGGGCCCCTCTGGTTCGAGAGCGACCACCAGCCTTGCCCGGTTCTGCCTTGGCGTCTTGTCCCTTCTCTGGGGCATTCCCCTCTGGGTAGCCCTCTGTACCTGCACAACTGGGTATATGGGAGAGAGAGCTCAGGAAGAGTATCCTCCCAATTAGCCCATAGAGGACAGTGGCCACCACCAAGGGGGTGACAAAGAAAATGGCGAAGTCCAGCAGGTAGATGGGCAAGTAGAGGTTCCTGGAAACTTTGTAACCACATTCCAGACTCTGGCTCTTGGTGACATTGATGTCAACAAGGAAGAACCAAAGCATGCAGTAGGCGGATGTGACCACCCAGACCCCAGTGATGATACGCTTGGCCCGGGATACTGTGCACACCGTCTGGGCCCTTATGGGATGGCAGATAGCTATATACCTGGAGAAGAGAAAGAACAGAGCATAGACCAACTAGATGGTGAACGTATCAAGGTGGGAACCATTTCTTCAGGGGTGTGCTGGTAAAAGTTTAACAACCAGATCCTTTAAAAAATGTCTGCACACCCCTTTCAAGTTTAATTTGCATTATTAGCATGTTCTCCACCACTTCCTTAGGTCTAGACAATCAATAAAACAATAGATCAAGCCCTAATCTATAACAAATGCTCACGCTCAAACTTGAACCCCAAGACTCTCAGGAGCTTGTTGGGGTGTTTCTAGCTCACCCTGCTTATCTCAGACATTTCCCAATCCCTTCCAGTTCCTAGCGTGGGGCCGGAGATGCAACAGGTACTCATTATAATACTTGTTACTGCTGATGAGGCCAACAATAAAAAAGATCCTAAGTCACATGGTGGAGAGGGAGGATGATAGCACAGGTACCCCATGGAGACAATCCATAGGACTGCATCTCCTGCCTGGCTCCATCACTGCCTCTGGAAAGCCCTTCACTGCTTCAGCAGCTCATCCACGAAATAGGAATAACATTTCAAATCTGAAAAACTACCCGTTGGAAAACTAGCCACCATGAGACCATCTAGTTAGAAGTAGAATGTTGAACTTGGAGACAGGAGGTTTGGATCTGAATCCTGCTTGGACACCTTTTAGCTGTGTGTCCCTAGGTAAGTCTCCCGACCTCTCTGAACCTTTGGTTTCCTCATCTGCAAAAGGATAACAATGTTGACATCACCTATCTCACAGGGTAGTGTAGATTGTAAACCGTAAGAGCTATATAAATGTGGTCTACTGCTATTTTTACCTGGTTCAATTCCCTCATTTTGTAGAGCAGGGGTTCTTAACCTAAGCTGTTTTATAAAAACATTCTGATAACTATTTTCATATAATAGATTTCTTTTATAATCCTATAGATTTTAATTTATTCATTTAAAAACATCATTCTGAAAAAAGGGTCCCTAGACTTCACCAGACTGCCAAAGGGGTCCATAACATGCATAAAAGTGGAGAACCCCTGTAAGAAAGGCCCAGGGTGGTGGAGAGAAAGGTAAATGCCCAAGGGCAAATAACAGGTTAGGGACTTAGACAAGGAAATTAGGTCTCAGCTGGTTAAGTGACTCAGCTGGGGTCTTACAGCTAAGGAGTGTCAGAGCTGCGAAGCATTATTTGATGTCATTTGATCTTGGGTGCTATTGTTATCCCAGTTTAGAGATAAGGAAATGTGGTCTCCTCCATTAGAATGTGAAGTGGTAGGGTCCTCATTTTTGTCTTTCTTTGTATCCCCAGTGCTTAGGTCTCTGGTCTCCTAATCCAGGGATCTTTTTATTCTAAAAGGTTACCTGCCTGGCAATGGGTTGTAACTCCCTCCCAGACTTTGCTAGAGTTTCCCAAAGTGACTTGCTTCTGGTAAGACTGAACTTCATGATTTACATAGAAACCTTGAGATATGAGCAAGGCAATGTAAGTAAAAGAAATATTCCTACCTCTCCACAGTGAATGCCATGATGGAACAAGAAGAAACGTTGATTCCAAGATATTGAAAATAGGTGATGCAAAGGCAGCCAGCATGCCCGTAGATCCATTGCCCCGCCAGGCTGTCTGAGACATTGGGCAGTCCAGCTGCCAGGAGTACCATGAGGTCGGCCAAGGCCAGGCTGACCAGGTAGCAGTTGGTGGGTGTCCTCATGTCCCGGGTAGTCAGCACAACTACTACGACCATCATGTTGCCAATGATGCCCACCCCACAGATCAGCAGCACCAAAAAGACAGAGACAGTCTTGTACTCAATCAGGCCCAGGACAGTGTCGCTGCCCACCAGGGACACATTGGTGGGACTGTCAACTTTGCTGTGGTTCTCCATGATGAAGAGGGAGAGGAAAAGTGGGTATGAGAGAGAGACAGAGAGAGAGAGAGGCAGAGACAGAGACAGACAGAGAGACAGAGAGACAGAGAAAAGAGGAAGAAAGAGAGACAGAGAGACAGAGAAAGAAAGAGAGAAAAGGGCTAGGATTGATGGTTGAATTTCATTTCCTAGAGAGCCTGAAGGGCTTTGGGCCAAATAAAACATCGAGATCTCAAGGAGAAAACCCGCATCTTTAGCTTCTGCAAAAGCAACACACAGAGTTATTCATGTTTATCCTTCATTAGATATAGGATAGCATCATAGCACTTGGGGCTGGAAGGGACCTTAACTATCATCTAATCAAACCATTTGAGTTTACAAATGAGGAAACTGAGGCCCAGAGGTGTTAAGTGACTTGCCCACAGTCACCTAGGCAGTAGATAGTAGAGCCAAGATTTGTACTCAAGATTTCTCACTCCTTATTCATATTTCTGCAGCACTTTAAAGCTCACACAGTGATTTCCCGACAATAGTCCTGTGAGGTAAGTGGGATATTTCATGCCCATTTTGCAGATGAACAAACTGTGGCACTGAGTACCTCTTTGCATCAGAATTTTAGTGTTGGCAAGAGCCTCATAAATCATCTACTCCAACCACTGGCCTAAGGAATGAATCCCCTTTAGATGAATGCCTCCACGAGATAGGGGCCTTCCTCTAGGTTAATTCTTCTCCTTCATCCAGTGACTCTGGCCTCCTGGCTGTTCCTCGTGCAAAACAATCCATCTCAGGATTCCAGGAATTTGTCCCAGCTGTCCCCCATGCCTGGAATGCTCTCCCTGGTAAGCTCTTCCAGGCTTCTCTGGCTTCCTTAAGTCCCAGCTAAAATCCCATCATCTACAGGAAGCCCTTCCTGATCCCCCTTAATGCAGTTTACTGCCTTCCATCCATTGGTTATCTCTGATTTATCCTGTCTACATCATGTTTGTACATAGTCATTTTCATGTTGTCTCCCTTCTTAGACTGGGAGCTCCTTGAGGGCAGGGTCTGTCTTTTGTCTTTCTTTGTATCCCTAGTCCTTAGCCCAAGGCCTGGCACAGAGTAGGCTTAGTAAATAAATGCTAATTTGACTGATTGACTAATCAGCCAAGTACAGAGAGTCTGTTAAGATATCAAAACGTTGGCTACTTGGTGACATTTTGGGGGGTATAGCTGACATTTATATAACGCCTACTATGTGCCAGGTGCTGTGCTAAATGCTTTACAAATATTATTTCATTTGATCTTCATAACCCTGCAAGGTAGATACTATTGGTGTCCCCATTTTACAGCTGAGGAAATTGAGGCAAATAGAGGTTAAGTAATTTGCCCAGAGTCACACAGCTAGTGTCTGAGGTAAAGTTTGAGCTCAGGTCTTCCTGACTTCAGGCTGGGTGCTCTATCCACTGCAACCCTAGAAGGTAGGTGGCATTCTTTGTATCCCCTTTGCTTAGCACAGCTCCTGGAGGGCAGTAAGCACTTGATAAAAGCCTCGGACCAACCAAAGGCTGAATGACTGACTGATTGACTGGGGATGCAAAGGCAAAACAAAAACTGATTCTGCCCACAAGGAGCTTACATTTTACTAAGGAAAATATCAGGCATATATAGAGGCATAAACAAAATATAAAATATATTTTCATGAAAAGTGTGCTCCTCTTGGAAATAGTTTGACTTCAAGATTGTAATTATAGATTTTAGAGCTGGAAGGGAGCTCAATAAATCACCTTGTCCTGATGTCTGTTTTGAGAGTGGCAGTAACTCATTCTCACTTTGCAGATGAGGCAACCGAGGCCCACAAAGTCCATTTAACTTGGTCCAGATGGATTCTGGAATCCGAGATTTATAACTTACATGGAAACTTGTTGCTTTGGGTGACTCCAGGTCCCACTCAAACTTCCCACTATGTGTCACAAAGTTGTTTACACATTGTATCCCCCATTAGAATGTAAGTTGTTGGAGGACAAGGATTCTATTTTTGCCCTTCTTTGTATACCTAGTTTTTTGCACAGTTTCTGGCATAGGGTAAGCACTTAATAGATAAATGCATTTGCTTACAAAAGACACTGCTATAGAGTTAAAGAAGTAAGATAAGAACCTAGAGGGATAGATACTTTGGGTATTCAGGGAATAACATCTGAGATGTTGCTTGAAGGAGGGGGGAACTTCAAGAAACAAAGAACATATAGGCAATTCTAGCTAAGGCAAGTGAAGTTAACATTAAAAAGTATGGAGGGTATGAGAGAAGGAAGGACAGAAGGAGGAGAATTGGTTCAACTAAACTGGAATAGAGTCTATGAAGATAAACAAGAAGAGATTGGGTTGGAAAGGTTGGAAAGTAGAGCCACATGGAAGAGGGCTTTGAATACTAGAATTAAAAGGCAGATATACATATATATATATATGTATGTATGTATGCATGTATATATATGTATATGTATATACACATATATACATATGTGTATATATAATACACACATACATACACATATACACATGTATTATATATACACATATATTATACATAACCACACACATTATATATAATCACACACATATAGATATATACATACATATGTGTATGTGTATGTATACCTATGTGTATGTGTTTATACATATTGTGTATGTATATATGTACATATATGCATGTGTATGTATATACTTTGTATATTCTATATTTATATTTATGCAATATTATATATTTATACATATATATTTCTAATAGGCATTGGGAAATCACTGAAGGTTTTAGAGTAGAGAAGTGACATTTTGTCCCTTGTTATGGTATCACTCTCCCCTTTTCATACAAGATACACACAACTGTCAGTGACTTTGTAAATCTACCTAGCAGCTGCTGAGTCAATACTAAAGCCCAAGAAATTAGAAATAATTTTAGGTGCTCTAAGCCCTGTTCTGACTCTACTCCATCTGCTAACTTCCTCATTCAACCTTCTTATATACCAGCCCTTTCCTCCCCACCTTTTTTTTTTTTTAATAAAAGATTAGGGATTGATTGCTGAGGTCTCTGAGTTTACATCACAATTACAGACATTGTTTCAATATCTCAGGAATTCCCCCTCAGGGTTCTTAGGCCATGACAAAACTTTCCAGAGAACAGGCTTTGATAGGAGGGAGGAAGAGAAAGAGAACAGGAGTCCCATTTCTGCTCCATGTTACCTATACAGCTTTTGGCAGGTCACTCCCCTTCTCTGTGCCTCAGTTTCCTCCTCTCTAAAAAGAGTATTGGACTGGTTGATTTCTGAGGTCCCTTCTAGTTCTAGTTCTGACAATCAAGTGTTGGAGATGGGGGTATGTATGGTCAGAGTGTTCTGAGTCATTTGGCTAACAAGTAATTATTAAGCACTTACCCTGTGCCAGGAGCTGTGCAAAGAAAAGCAAAAATATAGTCCCTGATCTCAAGGTGCCTCCATTTTGAGGAGGGATACAACTATGTACAAATAAGCTAGTACGTAGGATGAATTGGAAGAAACCTTTGAGGAGGAGAAGGGAGCAACCTTGTCCAGAAAGGTCAGGGGAATGAAAAACCATCTTAAGCACCCCACTTCAGGAGCTGCCAAAGGGTTGGTTGGTTAAAGGTTCCCTGGCAAGAGGCAGCTAGAGTCTATTGGGCAGGAAGACTGGACTCCCTGGGCTCCCAGTTCTGAGTGCCTCCCCACTCCCATCTCTTAGATGGTCATTCTCCTTGAACCTTGCAGTTTATGGTCAGATATGTCAACAGCTCTGAGCAGTCCAGAGAAATGTTCTAGGAAAATAGGAGATGGGCATTGGTACCCTAGGCATACCAATGGCAGCCACACAGACAATTAAAAAAATATTCATGACTGATCTTCTCCTGTGGGGAAAATGCCAATTTAAAACTAGACACTAGCCTTGTTTGGGGTATTTTATTTAAACTTTCCCCCTACATCAAGACCAAAATGGTTTAGTTCTCTAGTTTTGTGGTCAACAGATTTAAACAATTGTTTGTGACACAGCTTCTTTGGGGAACTTGGTGAAATAGGATGAAAATAAAACCCAATTATGGCACAGAATTTTCTATCATTGTTTGTAAAATAATAATAGTTTACATAAAATAAGAACAGTGTCTCACTCAATTAGGTTTGAGTCCTGGGACTTATTTCTACTGAGAAGGGGAGAGAAAAGCCCATAGACATATACCCCATGGACAGGCAGAAGACTCATGCAGCTTCAGGCAGACAAATATGGCAAAGGTAGGCAGACAAAGGTGGATAAACAGACCCATGATGATTCAAGGAGACAGAAATGACACCTGCACAGATGCAGACAGACAGATAACAGGCATACCAATACCCATGGACAGACCAACAAACACTTAGATAAGACACATAGACAGCTGTCTACATACCTGCTTTCGTCCAGATAGGCAAATGAAAACACAGTAACCCAAACGCTCCACTCAGAAGAAGATTACAATTGGTCCCTGAATGACTACTTTGCCCTGAAACACACACATAAACTGCAACTCCAACCAAGTGATTGGGAGGCTTATCTGCACGAGTCACCCCTTATATCACCCCCCAGCAGTGGGCTAAGCTGAGGCATCCCCTCCCCATTCCAAGGAAGGAAACTCAGCCTGCCTGGCAACAGCATACCACTACTAGGGCCTCTGAGATGCAGGAACAAGAGGGTAGGAAGTTCCTAAGTAGCTGGGGTGGGGGAGAACCGCTGCCTTTCCTGTCTACCACCCACCCTCCCAAAACATTTTGTTTTGTTTGAAAAGATGGTCAATGCCTGGATGGGGACTTGATGCCTGCAACACACTCCCACAGTCCAGGGCTTTATCCTTGGGAAACCTACATATTTTGGAAGGATTTTTTTCCTTTAGGCAGTTTGAGAGAATCAACCCAGAGCAGCCTCTTTCTCCCATTTGAGAGATTCTGGGGGTTGGAGTACTTGTTCAGATGTATGACATCTGCAGGATCATGGAAGCTCACCCCGTCACAATCTATACAGTATCTCCTGATGCTAAACGGCTTGGGAGGGCTAAAAAGA